ATCGGTGTTTTACCAACCATATTTAAAGCAATTTTAGTCTAATCTTAAAATGTGAAGCCACTTTTCTTCATCCGTGTCCAAACATTACAACCATTCAAGTACATTTTAATATTACTTATGTAAATATATTTCATAATTATTGTTAGTTCAAGCAAATACAACAACGTGTTCTCCCAATACTACACATACTTTAACAATGACAAATTGTACAAGTATTTCACAATATTACTGTTTTTTTTCCCCATGTTTGATTTTGAGCATAGGAGATTTCTTTTCAAAACATTGAAACAAAAGTACACTCACTGGCCACTTTATTAGGTACACCTGTCCAACTGCTGATTAACGCAAATTTCTAATCAGCCAGGCACATGGCAGCAACTCAAGGCATGTAGACATAGTCAAGACTATCTTCTCCAGTTTAAATCGAGCTTGAGAATGGAGAAGAAAGGCGAGTTAAGTGACTTTGAATGTGGCATGGTTGTTGGTGCCAGACGGGCTGATCTCTAGGGTTTAGAGAATTGTCCGAAATAAAGAAAACGTCCAGTGAGTGGCAGTTCTGTGGGCGCAAATGCTTTGTTGATGCAGAGGTCAGAGGAGAGAGACTGGTTTAACATTTCAGATATACAGTAATGTGTTTACAAGGGTGGTTTATTTCGCTGTGATGACCCCAGATTAATAAAGGGACTAAGCCAAACAGAAAATGAATGAATGAAAGTGTTTACAAGCTTTTAGTCCTTTAATTCCTGTCTTGTTCAAAAGAACAGTGCCAGCTATCTCATTAGTGGATACATTTCACCTCTGAAAGATTTCAAGTTCCACTTGCAATTTAATCAAAGTAAAAACTGTAATTTCTTTAGACCTGTAGTAGCTTGCATATATACCAGCTTATAGAAACATATCTGTTAAGTTATATTTGGGCAATCTTGATAAAATAACATGTTCCATTAATGCTCTTAGTGCAAAGAAGCTTACATAACCCCCAGCAAATAAATTTAAACTCGACACAGTTCTCTGATTTGATAAGGACCGCTAATGTGCAAAAGTATTGGCCCCCTTCCATTTGATCCACTTCTGTTATTTTTATTTTAGGGTCTCCGAAGTTAATGCTCTGAACTTGTAAGACCTTGATCTAAATCAGGTGATGACAGATCCAGAGCTTATATAATAATTCCCTGACTCTTCAAACCTCTCATGCAGAGTGTTTACATTCACCAGCCACAGGCTCCTTGAAGCAGCCGACTGAGAATCAGAAAATAAAGATAATTGAGTCTTATAAAGCATGGAAAGCTTATGAAAATATATGGAAATGGTCGCTGGCTGCGATGTGTGAGATTTGTGTAATATACACTAAGAATAAATGCAAAGAAATATCAAGAAAAGTAAAGCGTAAATATCTATTTAAAGGTGATTGGAACTGGTTCTTAGTTACACTTCAGGCTTGACTTAAGCTTTATATTGGTGGTAGCGTTTGGAAGCAAAAGAATCATGTGCTTGTTAAACTGAATCCAGTAAACATTTAACATCTGCTTTGGCTAAAATCACCAGTTACTCTTTATTTGCCTAATCAAATTAAAAGTAATACCAGGCACAGTGTGGGGTAAGAGACAGATAAACTTTAGAAAAAAAAGAGAGAAATTGCAATGAAATAGGAGAGGTTTTTTTTTTTTTTTTTTTTACAAGTTTAAGAGTTAATAATGCACTTTTTTTGCAAGTACTTTACACTAGAGAACTAGAATTTGTTTGCTCTTTCCACATTTAAAGACTTTACTTTACTTTTACTTTGGTGTTGTCTCGTTATGTTGATGTTGGTGCACACATGCAGCTAATTGCCCAGCTAAAATATTACTTTCTCCATAGCCTTAAAAATAACAAACATAATAGGATGTTTGAACAGCCTTAAAAAATAAGACACTATTTGAGTTAAAGGTGCAGTAGGTCATCTGCCAAAATGCAGGTAGTTCATTTCGCTGTGGTGACCCCAGATTAAAAAAGGACTAAGCCGAAAAGAAAATGAATGAATAATATTACAAATCCGAATGAAGAACTGTATTATATCAGCACGTTTTCAGTTGTGTACCAAGCAAAACTTGCCATAATGTTCAATATTTCAAGCATGCAAGGATCGATGGTCACTCTCTCACATGCTTTGTCCTAAAGCATGTCCTAAAACTTTATGCTTAGTGGTTGGCTGGCGGCATGCAAGAATTACACTTACTGCTCAAACAACATAACATCAAAGGAAACCTGTGTTTTACAAATCTGAAAACATTCTGGCGTAACTTTATTTTGATGGTGCCTTTAACATGTTTTGTTTTATTTAAGTTACATAAGCTAAGCCATACTTGCATGTTATTTCAGAGCGAATATTCAGAGTAGCATAGTAAACAGTATAGGGAGCGTCACAGGTTGTCATTGTTCAAAAATGTATCAATGTGAATATAAAACCAACTTCACCTCAGTAAAGCAGGCTAGGCAGAATAGCGCTATAAACTGATGTTTCAACGTAATCTCACGGCACATCGTAACCTTTTTGATTTAGTCGCTAATTCGTATGAATTTGTATGATCTAATTTGTACAATTTAGTACCATTAGCTCATCACCCAATGATGGTTGGGTTTAGGGGTGGGGTTGGGTGCCACGCCTTCTTGTTAAAATCGACTGAAGTCATTTGAATTAGCCACTAAACTGACAAAACATAAAGTACTTACGTTTCTACGTGAGATCAGGCTGGATGTTTTGTTGTTAAAAGAAATAAAAATCTACATTATTGATGCTGTAAAAGGTCCCTTATGAAACTGAAAATAGTCCCATCAATCTATCACCGGAAGATTTCATTGGATTAACCCCACTTCCATGAATATAACCCATTTATAAAACAACCCAATCTACATAAGCTTTGTGTGACTAAAATATTTTTAAAACATAACATTACCTGTCTAACAGAAATACTTCAGCCCTAGTGTCATCCTTCCTCCACCATGCAAAAATAACTGCAATATTTGTTCAGGCTTTTAAAAACGTGATTAAACATTTGATTTTACAATTGGCGAATCTGCGTAAACGACTGCGCAGATGTACAAATCTACATTTGTTGACAGACAGTTTGGGATACGTATCAGAATTATGGGAATTGTTTGTCTGAAAATATTTAATTGGATGAACATTTTTATTCTTACTGTATGCCTTACCCAGAATATAAAAATACATACATTTAGATCATTTACTTTAATCATTACTATTGGAAGGTGAATAGACTTTCAACCAGCACAACAAAACATGTTTCTGAAGACAATCACGTGAAGCAAATTTTAATGAAACTACATGTATCAAAGCTGCTATTAGAGGTCATTGGTTTTATTTATTTATGTAATATATGTTGATTTATTTACTTATTTTATATTTGTGTACATTATTTTTGTTCAGTGGAGGAATATAAAAGGAAAAGAGAATTGACGATGCACAATAACCAGCTTGGGGAAAAGAACTAATCAATTTACAAATTTACAACCTAATTCTAAAAAGACTTTAATACTTTTTTTACATTAAAGTTTTTTTTTTTTTTTTTTTTTTTGATAAGGTGGTTCTGCATTAAGTACATTAGTTACATTTTTTTTAAATTGAACATATTCAGTGACAAAGAGTGTGAGCCAAGTTGGCCATTTAAGATCACCAGACCCTGATATCTCACAATAATAAGATTATTTAGTTTCATTTAAGCTATAGGGACTTGTTATTGAATGTCTTCAAAACTCAAACAACATAACAGCAAAGGAAACCTGTGTTTAACAGGTCTATAAACATTCTGGTGTAACTTTATTTTGAAGTACTGCTAAGTTTTGAACTTTTTCTGCTAATACTCAAATGAGACTTAATAAAAAATATTATAAAATAAAGTGTTACCAACTAAAGTGTGTGTACACATTATGTTTTATATAGAAATTTATGGCTGGGAGAAACATTTGGATGAGACTGTGGTTTAAGGCAGGTTGAACAGCAGCTAACTTGGGCACAATAATACAGATACTATATTAAAGTACTTAAATAAAATTATAAGTACTATAAAATTACTGTAAAAAAGGAAACTGCTTTCAAATTACTGTACTTTGCAGATATAAATGAATGAGATGTGCTCTAAACTAAACTGTATTGGTTGCAAAACCAGTTTGTTACTTCTCGTAATAAAACTTTTTGTTAATATTCATACTCTTAAAATGAATCCAAAACTAATTTTAAAGACAAGAGATTAGCTGGCTGTGTGTATATAATAAGATGTGTTCCCATAAAAAAGCCATTCACTCTTAAAAAATAAAGCTGTCACTGGGGTGGTATCTTTGCAACAGGTACACATTTGTACCTAAAGTGTTCATATTAATAAATATACTTATTTTATTTCATTTTTATTAATGTAGGTTATTAAAATAAAGGGCTCTGGTGGATGCATTGGCAAGACACACTCAGCTTATTTAGCTCACATAATGCCAAAACATATTTTTAAGGCAGTCAAAACCCCACAAGGTAAATTTTTTATGACTTCAAGAGAATAATGTTAAAGCAAGCTGGGCAGTTGGGTGCATCTGTGTGCCATCAATGTGATCTGACTCTTTTTTTTAATATGCACAGGTATTTTTTTTAAATAATACTCTTCATGTCCTTTTCATTTTCAATTTCTCCCTTTTTCTACAATAGGTCCCATATCCAGTCAGTTAAATCAGGCACATAAACAGTGGCCTAACTCTGAATTCAAATTCTGATCCCACTAAGCTCATAAAATATTCAGTTTGGAATGAAAGAGTCTGGTTTTTGCTAAAGAAATACTGGTTATTACAGACCAATTTATGCTGACAGATGCAGCAACGGAACTTACTTCATGGACATAAAAGGCTGTATCATTCCATGCCAGAGTGCTGAGTTTTGTAACTTGCAAAGTGCTGCTTCAATATTTTTAATGCTTCAACACATTTAATCATATGGTTGGTGTCTCTTTGATAGCCTACCACAGTTTGTCAAGCACTCCATGCATACCTTCAGAAACGATTGCACAAACGAAACAGACCGTGAAAAAACCGAGGTGCATGGAATTTACCTCAACATATGTTTGTTGATGTTCATTTTGGAGTCGCCTTCTCACGTCATATTTAGATTTATCACAATGGTTGTGGGTTTAAATAAGAAAAACCGAATTCGGTTTAGCATGATGTCCTAATGAAAACTGCAAAATCGAATCGCCAATTGGGAAGAATTCGGAACGAACTTACCCAGCGTTCTATTTGGAGCACGCGCCGGCTGACGTAGGTAAGCAGCGCGCGCGTCCTAGTCCCTTGAGAAAGAACAGCGTGCACGCGCTTCCATCCTCCTCGCTGCTACAGTGAATGCGGGCATCCAGACGCCTGACTGAGTGCGGCGCTTCTTTTCCCGGTACCACGGATGCCAGTGCATGGAGAGGGTTCTGTCGAAGCCGAAAAGGAGTCATGCAAATGTATATTCACACGGACGCTCGGCTGTAAGTGATGCTACTGCAAGTTAAAGTCCTGGAAGTAAAACCGCAGCAGATTGGGAATAAACGGATAGATCGGCGTTCCCCGTTGCAGAGCGCACTCAGTTCGCTTGGAATACAGAGACGCAGCGTGGAATTACCGGAGCCCTCAGTTTGTGAACTAAAGTCAATTCGTTTTCTACCGCATTTCTTTTTTTATTCATTTTTTTATTTCCCTAATTTCTTTCTTCTTTTTTGCTGTTATGTTTGATTAGGTTTATTACCCCTTTTTTATTCCAGTCTTCTTTAGTAATCTACCCTTTTGGTTTTTATTCTCTCATCCTCCGAAAATAGCTTGGGTTCGTTTTTTTTGCGAGGGTAGATTGTGGTGAAAGATATTCATTCAGTCTCTCAAACTGAGTCGTGTCATGGATGGCAAACTGCATTTGCATCTACGGAACAAATCGGGGAATATACAATAACTACTGCTGACAGAGACAAGGTATGTTTTCCATTTATATATTTAAACGCATCCACAAAATACAACGCGTTGCCTCGCAGTCGGTGCGTTTGAATGTTTTAAAGACAGGCGCTACAGTCGGAGATAAACCGACCACTTTATGAATCCACTGCTTCATGATCCTCTAAGTTGAAATATGCGATGCTGTGTGTCATTTAAACTAACTCGTTTTCTCTTCAGAGTCTTGTGCAGTGTGTATTCAGCATCATCCAGAACAAAACCTCAACCCAGAATGCGTTTTTCTTGCCTTTACCATTCAATCTTCGACCATTAACTATATTTTATATCTGTAAGCCACAGTGAGTTACACTGGTCAATCAGAAGTCTTGTTGAAATGCGAGAAACCATGAGAGAAAAACGTGATTTTGAAAGCATCTTTTCCTTCACAACTGATTTTCTGACAGACATTTGCTTACATTATGATCATGTCGACGTTTCAAGCCCGTCTCTACATCCACCGCGCAACTGTAATGTTATTTGAAGGTGATACAACTGTGATTTGGCGCCCGCTGTAGTTGCCTTTTACGCCGCAACTTAAAATAGCATTGGGGTTTCCGTCAATAACCAACAAACTGATGATCGTTTAGTCGATAAGCCAATGCAGCTGTCTGTCAATTAACATTCCCGGCCAGGCATTATGCTAATTAATCAAAGCTAGATTTGTCCGTGCAGGTCTGCAGCCGTGAAGAAGAGCAGTCGCCCATCTGTTGAACGCGTCTTCGCAGCAGCGCAGTTTCCACTGCAGCCACTATAAGGATAATATATTCTGCGCTAATACTCCGAGAGTATGAGATGCATTTATATTTCTCTTTGAGATAATATCAGTTAAAGCGGATTTTACTACAGGAGTAGCTGCGTCCGGTTAGTCTTTGATGAGTGTCACTGTACGGAATGAAGCGCACACGGAGGGCACGTGCGTTAACCCTTTAATATAGAGAATAACTTGCACTCCTTTGACATATTAAGACTGAAATAATGCCTTGTGTTATTGCTTTAAGAGTTAAAAGTTACGAATAAAAACCCTTGTTAACGGTCATACAAAACACCACCCATTTTTTCCCATGTAATAGAAGTAATGATGTCTTTGGTTCTAAATAGTGGTCCTACAGGAATGTACATCTCATTTTCTTCCTTTTGCATATACGATAGTTTCCATTTTTAAATATTTTATTTTTTCTGATATTGTTAGATATTTACTATAACATATAGAGTCTCTCGGAGTGTTCTTGTGGATTGGTTACCTCAGTGGTCTTGCTTGTTTAAAGAAGAGCTCATTTTTTTAATTTATTTTGTTGAAAATCACTTTACAACTCCCCTATGGTTATACGGTTTGGCATTGCTTAATCTCTCTGGTAGGAGTATTTTGGCTTAGCTTAGCTTAGCCTAGATCATTGAATCAGATTAATGACATCTCTATTAAAATTAAATTTCAATAATTTTCCTATTAAACCTTGACTCTTCTGTATTTACAACTTGGACTAAGACTGACGAAAATTAAAAGTTGCTATTTTCTAGACAGATATGGCGAATACCAATATATTCTCATTCTGGTTAAATAATCAAGGAGTTTTGCTGCCATACCATGGCTGCAGCAGGTGCAATGACATTACGCAGCATCTGAAAATAGTTCTGAATCGAAATATGGAAATCAAATCTAATGTAAATCAGAATATCACTGTGCCTGCTTCAGCGATGGTACAGATGCAAAATTTTAAGATCCCATTAATCTATGCTAAGCTAACTTAAAATTACTTCTGCCAGACCCAGTGATCGGCCAAATGGATACAAATGTTTAAAACTCAACTATTTAACTCAGCGGAGTTGTAAAATGTGACTATTTTCAAAAAAGGTGGAGTTTTCCTTTTGCATATTTTATGGTTGTAAAGTGCAATTTATATTTTAGTATTTGCCCATTGTAAGTACATGCTGATGATGTTTAAATACAATATTAATTTGCATTATGGCCTTATCTGTACAAATATACGTTAGTGAACAGTTGCATATCTTTGGTGTTTTCAATTTACAGAATATCGGATGCAAAATGTTGCATAATCGAGCCTTCTACAGTGCACACTGAGCAATTTCAGCGATCTCATGAAATCATTGCAAATCACAATTTGTGAAATTAATAATCATCTAATCATCTTGATTACAATGTATGAAGACTGTTCAATGGTGTAAACCTATTCACCCTATTCTCCGTCGACGAGTGGGCGCTGCCATTTGAATCTTTTTAGCTTGAGACTTCCGGTCTCATTCACTTCCATTCATTTTTTGACGTTAAAAACTGCTCATTACGCTGCTTGATGTTGCAATTTGATATTTTCTTATTATATTATTCTACTTGGTCTGTATAGTCATGCAAACATTTGTTTGTAAAGCAAGTAGTTTGACCGTTTTCTGCAGTTTATTATTTCTAGTCATTTCTCCCATAGGCGACTGAATCGGAAGTTCTAAGACAATCGCGAAAACAGGCGCACTTCCGCATTTTAGAATAAGGTCAATAGTGTTACACTGTGAAAATAATTAGTTGAATTAACAGTAGTTATTTATTCATGGGTTTCTTTCATTTGTTTTTAAAATTGTATTATAACACCTTAATCTTTGCATTGAGAACATTTGATGTTGAAATGTTTTTAATTTTTTTTCATTGTCAAGTTGTAATGTCAAGATACATCATGAGACATTGGTCATTTCTGTGTTTAAAATTTAACTACGCAGTTTATCAAATGGATTTTTTAAGCAATAAATTAATTATATATGCTGAATACAAATTTGGTAACAAGGAAACCCGGCTGATCTTACTAATAACATTGGGTAAGATTTAAAAAAATTTGACCCAGTGGTTGAGTTTGTCGAAGTTTTACCAAAATTAGGTTTCAACTCAGTGATTTTGGTGTATGTATTTTGGTTTCTATCATAATTTATATGTCCGAACCAAACTATATTTTCAAATTACAAAAGAAGTCAAACAAGACTTTAAAGCTAGGGTTGGGTGATGTTGATCAATTTGGCATAGTACAATGTCTAATGTAATACAATGCAATTGATGATGGCCTCATTGTCATAGGCCAGGTAAATTAATTATGAATGCTTAATTAATTCATAATGAATTAATTATTTGTAGCCTACCGTTTCAACTACCTGACCAGCATCATAAACAAATAAAGATAAGTTACTGTACACACAAATTACCACCTGTCAGTCACTTTTTCCGCAGGACTCTGACATAAGGCAGAGTGATCTGTGTCATAATAATGGCGTCGACAAATTTGGTTGATTTAAAAAGGTGCACAACCCACAGGAACCAACCAACAGTATCTGAGGTTTTCACTAAAATTACCAAGTAGAAGCGTGAAAGCGAAAGATTGAAGCAGTGTACTGATGCTGTCACACGTTACTTGATCGATTCAAAAGACCGAAGAGTCGTTAGATAGATACAAGTTGAATTAAATGTCAGGTTTAACAACTATAGTGAGACGCGATCCAGTGGTACTTCCTTGATAAACTGTGCACTGCTCTCTGGGCTGACTGCTGGAGCTCAGTCGCTGCATCGCATGACAGCGTTTGTTTGTGTGTGTGTGTGTGTGTGTGTGTGTGTGTGTGTGTGTGTGTGTGTGTGTGTGGTCACATGATGTGCGTTTTCAGCGGTATAGTGTGGACGGAGAGATCTTTTTAGAAATGTTAGATAAAACGCCAGTGTGGACATGGATAGTTTTCATTCTAAAAGGCCATTTTAAAACTAAGACGTATTAATGGTAACAGGGCCTAAGTGTGTATTTTTCACTAGCAAGTTGCTGCTGTGAAGGAGGTGGGGTGGAGGATCGCGATACAGACTTAGCATTGTGATGTCTATCAGCCATCTGCGATGGACGATGGCATCGTCTATCGACCCAACATTATTTCAATAATTTCAACATCAAATGTTCTCAAAGCAAAAATCAAGGTGTTATAATACAATTTGAAAACCTAAATGAAAGAAACCCATGAATCATAAACAACTGTAATTAAACTAAACATGTTTTACAGTGTATAACTCTATAGGTATACACCGTTGTACAGTGTTCATAAGTACATTTTACTCAAGATGATTAGATCAATGTCGCACATTGTGATTTATAATGATGTCATGAGATTGCTGAAATTGCTCAGTGTGCTCCATTATGCAACATTCCACATCCCATATTCTGTGCCTCAATATTTTCTGTTCAAAGGTCTGGCTTTCTTTCATTTCGAATATGCATATATGGTGAGCTGCAGCAAGTCTAAATGAAGCATATTAGTATATTGCTCCTGCTGTTTATGTTGTATCTTTATATCTCAATAATCAGCAAGTATATATCTTTTTTTTTTTTTTTTGCAGCTGTTGTGATTGTTTGTGAATTCATTATTGCTTACTCTGTGGCACAATATAAAATCAGTATAAGCGAATGGATCCACACAGCTTGATGCGACTCCTATGCAGAGAAAAATGGTTCTAGATAGAGAAGTTTAACTATAATTGGCTCATAAAGCCTTGAGGGGCCTCCCACGCCACAGGGGTGCCCTGTATGCCTGTGGTAAAAGATTGGGACACTTACCTCAAGGTTAATGGCCTTCTCAAGTTGCTTGACCTGAATATACGCAAGCAACTTCTTTACTCAACGTTTTTGTTAGTGAACAATTAATCCCAAGCTCTAACTCACAGTTAGCCTTTCAGATGTATCAGTATACAGACAACATTTAAGGGTTAGGCTTGGCTAATTAGTGAGAAATAGGCTCATTGCAGAGCCTGTTGGGTGAAATACCTTTCCAGCACGATGTGTGTGAGAGAGGTGTTTATGCTAAGTTGATCAGTAAATGTCTGTTGATGCCTCTTATGGTCTATTGAACTTGTAGCTGGTTGATAACAGCAGTCTTACTCAACCATGTTCCACCAGCACTGCACGTTCCATGTCTCCTTAACCAAACACACCTGACTCAGATTATCAGCTCATTAGCAA